TGCAGTTATATAACTTTGTGAGATCATTTTTACCTTATTTTTGTAATTTGCACTTTTGAATTAAGAATAAAGAATTATTAGAATTAATATATTTAATTATTTATTTATTTGTTTGTTTGTCGGTTTAGTTGGTTTAATTTATTATCTGCGTGGAGTTAACAAGGTTTTTTAAGGAAAGGATCTTTACGTTTTCGCGATAAAAAATAAAAGTTTGGTTCCTAATAGTAAAAGAATAATTGACTGCACGGTTAGCGAGGTGGTTGGGCAACTGACTGCCGTGCAACGTGTTGCGGGTTCGATTCCCGCACGGAACAACTCTTTGTGTGATCCACAGATTGTTGTTTCGGGTCTGGATGTTATGTGTATGTGAACTTGTATGTTTGTAAACGCACCCACAACACAGGAGAAAATCCTAGTGTGGGGCAACGTTTGATTACAATAAAAAAAAAATCATATGCATCCAGTACTTTTAGAACATATTCAATGCAAACAAATAATCAAATATTTATTCTTCAAAATAATCGTTTATATTAAACAATTACAAATACCTACTACTTAAATCTAATGATAATGGAAATAAATAGTTGAAGACATGTTCAAACTTGTCTCTACTTGTCTAGTTGAGCAATACATAATTATTTAATCGTTAGACCGATGACGTAAGTCCGGATTACCGGAAGTTCAAATAATTGGGACTCTACCTTACATTGATTGACACACCTTTGAGCACTCAACTAATTAACGATTCTGCTTATCAGACGTAAAACTATACAACCCATATTGTTCAGTTCAATTACTCATTTTATATCTATTATCTAGGTATATACAAATGAATCCCTTTTACCCTTGATCACGGCATCATGCGTGAATGGCTGGACCGATTTCACTGATTCTTTTTTTGTTGTATTTGTTATAATTAGGTTCTCCTAATCCTTCCTTCCTTAACCTACCTTACGGAACCTTCTGGTTCTTAAGACAGAAAAAATACTGATAATTCGACGGGAACGGGAGAAAACGGGATTGCGCGTACGAAATCGCGTGCAGAAGATAGTTAATTATAATTTAAGGGCCGATTTCATCAGTGAATTCTTAACTATGGAAAAAAATTGACATTTCACAGTTTTTAAGTATGGAAGAATTGTCAAATATTCATAGTCATTCAGTTTAAATTTATCTGGCGTTGGAAAATAGGTCCTAAATCTACAAATAGCTCAATAGCCTATAAATAACGTCAGCATCCCAGTAAATAATTACTTAAATTAGGTAAGTAGGTCGTATTGTAATCACTATAAAAAAATCTATTCTATCGATTAAAGACGTGTTGATTCGTACAAATAATATAAAACAAGCCTCCTACAGCCGTATAAGATCAGTAGCAACTCAGACACCAGACACAGCCATGCAGTGGCAGACGTGTGTGTTACTGTTGTGTGTGACGGCCATATTGGCGGACGACGAATGGCGGGAAGTGAAAACTGCGCAAGGGCCTGTGCGCGGGCGCAAGCACCCTACGGAGGATATTTACACATTCTATAATATACCTTACGCCACAGCACCTGTCGGCGTTGATAGGTTCAAGGTACTGCTCTATTTACATTTTAAAACAGACTATTCAAAAGTTTCCTTCTAATTGCTATGTAGTGAACTTTAAAAACCACTCAATCAATGAAACATGTTTATACTTTTAGTCAAGTAAACACCATAAATATTATTTTATTGGTTTTAAACGAAATGTATTTAAAAACAGTTTTTAAATATGTAATCTGACTTTGAGACCCGAAAATGATGGTAGCGTAACTAAACAGTATCTCTCATGGTCAGTAACGCATTCCTAATACCTCTAGCGTTGCAAGTATATAATTCTACATAGGGTACGGTGTCCGCTTACTGTAAGGCGGGCCAAAATTATCTATATTTTTGTCTTCTCACTTTCAAAACCTCGTACGACAACCACAAATCGATTAAGAATTTTGGTTAGTAATCGACTTGACTTGGCTGACACAGACGGCTGGAGGACCGGCTCCTGCGCAACGTGTCCCGTGACGTGATTAAGATCCGCGTCGGGATAATTCGCTTAAAACCATATTTTAAGTACTAGTGATTTAAAACTTTTAGCAATTAACTTCGCCATAGGCAAGTAAATGGCAAGAAATATGTTGTAACCACTTTTTGTTTATGACTTTTTTTAAACAAAAAATACATAACTACATTTTTTTAAATTAAGACTTGTCTTAGCTAAATATAATTTAAATATAAACAAAAGTTCTGGCCCTGTAGTAGCACAGTCAAATTTATTATTTACAATGACTCAACACATTTATCTACAGGAACACGCGTAGTGGTGTATTGCTATATCATTCTTTGTAGTCGATGGCAATAATGAGGTGTTTGTTTACCTGTTACATAAACAATAAAAGATCACACACATCTCATTCATATAAAATGTGAATTGTACGTCCTTGACAAAAACGAGTTGTACTAAAGTAGGTACATAATTGTATTCATCAGTAGAAGTAAAAAAATTACCTATCTCACTATACTCCGTCATCGTCGCGTCGTTTTAAAAAGCAAGTCATTCATAGATATACGTAACAATATATGCGTCACATAATTCAACAACCAAATCCACAAGTTATAACTAAATTCATTCTGTCATAATTTTTCCAGGCACCCCTTCCCCCGCCAGTATGGTTGCAACCATACGATGCCGTCGAGAAACCAGTAGTTTGTCCTCAACCGGTGTTCCCATTTCCCGAACTTCAACTGAATAAATTAGTGAAACAAGAAAACTGTCTAATTGCTAATGTATTTGTACCAAACACGAATAAGAAGAACCTTTCCGTGGTAGTGTATGTTCATGGAGGAGCTTTCATTATGGGATGGGGAGACATGTTTAGAGCAACACAGTTGATGAACAAAAAAGATATTATTGTTGTTACGTTCAACTATCGACTGGGTGTTCACGGCTTCCTCTGTCTTGGTACTGAAGACGCACCAGGCAATGCTGGAATGAAGGATCAAGTAGCATTGCTACGTTGGGTGCAGAAAAATATTGGGAGCTTTAATGGAAACCCAGATGACGTCACGATCATAGGATTTAGTGCGGGATCTGCATCAGTGGACTTGCTAATGCTATCTAAATCAGCTGAAGGATTGTTCCACAGAGTTGTACCAGAAAGTGGTGGAAACCTGGCTGCATTTGCAATTCAAAGAGATCCTGTAGAGATTGCCAAAACATATGCTAGACAACTTAACTTTACTAACGTAGATAATATTTATGCTCTTGGAGAGTTCTACAAGACGGCTCCTTTAGAATTATTGACATCAGATCCATTTTTTGATAGGACTGATTCTACTTTTTCGTTTTCTCCGTGTGTGGAGCGCAATATGGGACAAGAGACGTTCCTGACAGAATCTCCACTAACCATATTAAAGAACGGCAAATACAAGAAGTTACCAGTATTGTATGGATTCGCTCAGATGGAGGGACTGCTACGTGTCGATTTCTTTCCATTTTGGAAGCAAAAGATGAATGATAAATTTTCTGATTTCCTGCCCGCTGATTTAAAATTCAAATCTGAAGAAGAAAGAGAAGAAGTAGCTAATAAAGTTAAGAGATTTTATTTTGGTGATGAACTCGTCAGTGAAGATAATATTTTACAATACGTCAATTTCTTTTCTGACGTTCTTTTTATGCACCCAATGCTCTGGGCAACAAAATTGCACGTGGAAGCAGGCAACAATCAAATTTATTTGTATGAATACTCATTTGTTGACGACGATGTTCCTGAGGTACCACACACTAACATAAAAGGTGCTACCCACTGCGCTCAGTCACTCGCCGTACTTGATGGTAAAAATTTGACCCATAAAAGTCATACAGATGAATCATTAGCAACTCCCGAGTATCAGAAAATGAAGAAGACAATGCGAGAAATTTGGTACAATTTTATTAAAACTGGGTATGTATTATTACCAATAACTACTTTTTTAAAGAATTATCTTGCGGTCAATCCTTTCTGGTGCAAGAATTCCTGTTACGGATGCGTATGTGAAATGTAACACATCATATAACTTTATTATGATTCATGTAAAAAATACTGTATGAACATTTTGATAGCTAACGTTTTTTTTTGTAAATTATATATATTTTCGCATTATTCTAGTCAATATGATATTATTTTTGTCTAATTTGGAGACGCGTAATAAGATTAAAAACAAATTGCCAGTACACTATATTGAAAAATAGCTGTAATCAATTAATAGTCATTCTGTCGTACATACACATGTCGTATACATTTTCTTTTTTCAATCTTTGTGCCCACAGTTTCCCAGAACATGTTTTTGATTTTCAGAACTTCGGAATAAATAATTGGTCGCTGTGGATCAACGGTAAATAACAATGAAATATTATTTCTTTCAGAAAACCTGTTCCTGAAGGCTCATCGCTGCCTGCATGGCCATTTGCTGGTGCCGACAGATCACCCCACATGTCGCTGGGTCAGAAGATAGAACTGCGTGGTGTACTGCTAGAAGAACGCACACGCTTCTGGGATGACATCTACCAGAGATATTACCGGGAGCCTGTACCACCACCAACACCGCCACCGAAATCACACGCAGAATTATAAGACATTTATTTTGTGAATAAAATAAAAATAAAATTCCAGGTACCAAGTTAATAAGAAAATATAGGTTAACTAAGTACAAACATAATGGTTTCCTTTTAACTAAATTGTGTGATTTTTAACGAAGCTGAAGTATTTTGTGTTTCCAGTAACATACCTATATTTCCTACTTTTAGCTCAAAGTCTTTTAATCTAATGACTAAATTCTATTATCTCTGTTAGTAATTATATACGTATCATCATAAAATTATACCTATCGAGAAAATTCGATTTTATCGATACAAAGCATTATCAACTCGCACTAAAAATATGTATATAACAAGCACCGAACAGACATATACATCAGTAGTAATTCAGTGAGCAGACGCAGCCATGCAGTGGCAGACGTGTGTGTTACTGCTGTGTGTGACGGCCATATTGGCGGACGACGAATGGCGGGAAGTGAAAACTTCACAGGGGGTTGTGCGCGGTCGCAAGCACCCTACGGAGGATATATACACATTCTATAATATACCTTATGCCACAGCACCTGTTGGTGTTGACAAGTTCAAGGTAGGTACATTATCTGTATTCTAATATTAAGTTTAATAAAAGTACTTCACACAAACTAAAGGTATACATTTTAAAAATAAATAAAATGAGAAGAACTTAATGTCATGATTAACCTATTAATGAAAAGTATTTTTATTTTTAATCTGTATTTATTGTGGTTATCCTTAAGGTTAAACTTAAACTTATGACTGAGTTTTCATTTTTTTTTTCACTATTCGTTAGTAGATAATAATATAATAAATAGGAGAGAATCCCTTACTTCGTGCTGATATAAAAAAATTGAATCTTTTTTGCTAGCCATCAATAAAGCAGTATTTAAAGTATGTATAGTTAAATATTTACCAATATTCTGAAATATATAATATTTCTTTTTTTGTTCTAAACAATTGGGTATTTACCAACTTGTCAAATTCAATACTTTTTTTGAACTGTCAAAACAACAGTTTTCTATGAATTTTGGAAGATATTGTGTATTGTGACGTCACGTTTTTTTAGCGTCAAACAGCATACTTATTTCTTAAAAATTTGCTAGAATAACACTAAAATTAAGTTGGTCATAAAACCAATTAATGAAAGTGGGATATTTTTTTAATATTTTATTATGGTGAACAGTCGAAACAATTTACTTATGATTAAGGATAAACAAATAACTCAATAATATAAAAGTTTATTGACAAAATGAACCTGATTCTATTTTTTTTAACTTTTAACAAGATATGTATGTTTTTATATTAGACTTGCCTTCTTAGTAGTAGCACGAAGTTTGGAATTGGTGTATATGGCAATAGGCTCACCTCCTATTACACAGGACTCATAACATAAATAGTGAAAAGTGGGTGTTACATTGTACAGTGGTATTAAGTGCCGTATTATGCCAACCCCTTCGAGGATAAACGGCGTGATGATATTTTACTTGTCTTCTTATCTAATGATTTATATAATTGGACAAAGTTCTCGCTCTGTGGTAACAATATAATATCAGATATAAATATTTTGTTTACGTGCAATGACAACACACATTTACGCGGCGAGTATGCTGCAGAGCTATATTTATCGATTCGTTATCCATCGATTTTAAAACTAGTGATAATAATGAAGAAGTTTATTTATATTCCTCGCCTAAACAGCTAAAGATAAGTATTTGGTACGAAAGATAAACAACGTCTTTGAGTAATACAATTGTATTTAACTTTAAGTAGGAACATAATATTATGTTCATCAACATACACACATTTTCGCCAGAGTTATTTTTAGTATTACAATAATTATAAGTGTAATGAAGTAAAAATTATCCCTTTTGCCATCGATGATATCCCTAATTGCTGCCTCATTGGTCGCAAGTGCGACTGCTGGGCATGGGGTCTCGGGTTCGATTCCCGGGTCGGGAAAAGTATTACTGGGTTTTTCAAAAGTTCACAGTAGTAGCACGGAGTGTGGAATTGTGCCCGGTATATGGCAATAGGCTCACCCCCTATTACATGGGACTCATAACATAAATAGTGAAAAGTGGGTGTTACATTATACAGTGGCATAATGTACACCTCTGCCTACCCCTTCAGGGATAAAAGGCGTTATGTTATGTTATATCCCTAAATATCATTAATTGCAAAAGGGGTATTTTCACATAGTTAGTGGTTAGTAGGTTAGTCAACTAATAGACTCATATCGTTTTTAGAGGTTACGCACCTATCCATTTCCACTATATCTTCTGTAAGCCGGGATCAGTGAAGTTCACACATGTATTGTATATGTCATCCTTTTTCCAGGCACCCCTTCACCCACCAGTATGGTTGCAACCATATGACGCCATTGACAAGCAAGTGGTTTGCCCTCAACCTATATTCCCATTTTCTGATCTCCAGCCAAGTACCCTCGTACAACAAGAAAATTGTCTGATTGCTAATGTTTTCGTACCAAACACAAACAAGAAGAATCTTTCCGTGGTAGTGTATGTTCATGGAGGTGCCTTCATTATGGGATGGGGAGAAATGTTTAAAGCAACACAGTTAATGAACAAAAAAGATATTATTGTTGTTACGTTCAACTATCGACTGGGTGTTCATGGCTTCCTTTGTCTCGGTACTGAAGATGCACCCGGCAATGCTGGAATGAAGGATCAAGTAGCATTGCTGCGTTGGGTGCAGAAGAATATCGCCAGCTTTGGTGGTAACCCCGATGACGTCACAATCATAGGCTATAGTGCGGGATCCGCATCAGTGGACCTGCTAATGCTCTCTAAATCAGCCGAAGGATTGTTCCACAGAGTTGTACCAGAAAGTGGTGGAAACCTGGCCGCATTTTCAATACAAAGAGACCCTGTAGAGATTGCCAAAACTTTCGCTAGACAACTTAACTTTACTAACGTAGATGATATTTATGCTCTTGGCGAGTTCTACAAGACGGCTCCTTTAGAATTATTGACATCAGATCCATTTTTTGATAGGACTGATTCTACTTTCTTGTTCTCCCCGTGTGTGGAGCGCAATATGGGACAAGAGACGTTCCTGACAGAATCGCCACTGACCATATTAAAGAACGGCAACTATAAGAAGTTACCAGTATTGTATGGATTCGCTGAAATGGAGGGACTGCTACGTGTCGATTTCTTTCCATTTTGGAAGCAAAAGATGAATGATAAATTTTCTGATTTCCTGCCCGCTGATTTAAAATTCAAATCTGAAGAAGAAAGGGAAGAAGTAGCCAATAAAATTAAGAGATTTTATTTTGGAGATGAACCTGTCAGTGAAGACAATATTTTGGAATACGTAAATTTCTTTTCGGATGTCATTTTTGCATATCCAATGCTTTGGGCAACTAAATTGCACGTGGAAGCGGGCAACAATCAAATTTATTTGTATGAATACTCATTTGTTGACGAAGATGTTCCTGAGGTACCACACACTAACATAAGAGGTGCTAATCACTGCGCTCAGTCGATGGCTATAATGGATGGTAAAAATATAACGCATAAAGATGAATCTTTGGCGACTCCTGAGTTTCAGAAAATGAAGAAAACAATGCGCGAAATTTGGTACAACTTTATTAAAACTGGGTATGTAAAAATTAGTATTACTTGTTAAATATGTACCAATTAGATATAAAATCTGTGATTCAGTATTGATTGTTATAATTTTGTGAAGATATAGACGAATGTTTAGACATCGATATTGATCAATAAAAATTCTAAATACTGTACGTTCACTACTACTTTCTATCTAAGTATTACGGGTACATAATTTGATGTTTACTTGTCCTTACCGAGTTTTCTATTCATTTTTGAATGTCCTTATATGTTTCATGACTAATTTGCTAAGTTGTATTAATTGAATATTATCCAAATTACCGAAAGTATATTTTCCATCGTAACGAAAACTTCAAATTACTAGTTTTGACAGCCAGTAGGTGCATTAACTCGTCGAGTACCGTATTTATAGACACAATTAAAGAACAATAGGTTGCGGTCACCGGTGACCGCTTGGTGTTTGACAGTTTAAATACACAATGTGTTTTTATGGGTCATCTAATTATTATACTGTATTTTCAGAAAACCTGTTCCTGAAGGCTCGTCGCTGCCTGCGTGGCCTGCTGCCGGGGCTGACAGGTCACCACACATGTCGCTGGATCAGAAGATGGAGCTGCGTGGTGTACTGTTAGAAGAACGTACACGCTTCTGGGATGACATCTACCAGAGATACTATCGGGACGCTGTACCGCCACCAAAACCCCCACCCAAACCTCACTCCGAATTGTAAAACAAGGCTTTATCTGCCTAGTTATAAAATTAGAACTAGAATTATATAGTAGCTTCCGCGTGGTTTTACCCGCTCTGCTGTAGCGTGATTATATAGCCTTCCTCGATAAATGGAATATCGAATACAAAAATATTTTTTCAAACCGGACTAGTAAGTTCTTGAGATTAGCGCGTTCAAACAAACAAACAAAGAAACTCTTCAGCTTTATACATACAATGAAGTTTGATATGAACTATTGGAAGAGTATTATTATTTGACAGTGAATAAATATAGTTGTTGTTTAAAAAATTACCATGGTTATAGTAAGTTCTTACCTACTTTATGTCTTTGAGAGATGGGTACTTACTTTATGTCTTATGTTTGTTGGTGGGGCTTTATACAGACTAAGAAAAGGTGCATGTAGTTTAAGTAACAATACATACCCTAAGATTAGTTTTGATATATTCTTTTGTATTTTGTAAATAAACATTTTTACTAATTTCATAGTTTTTTTTTTGCTGTAGTTGATAATAGTTATAATTTATTACGTACCTACTACTTTTAACATAATATCCATCTTCTTCCTTTAGTTCCTAAACAAATTATGTTACTGGTATGGTACGGAATATGTATTCGATTTTTGCCAGTCACCATGTTCCATAATAAGACACTTGAACTGATACTGCCTTTGTCTGGACACAATTTTAGCCGCAGACATCATTATCCTTATTTTTTTTTAAATCATCTGTAATCTGCCTAGATTCAGTTTGTTTGGATATCTTCTGACTGATAAATAGCGATAATCTACCTATTATGTACTTACAATCAACTTGTTGCAAAAAATAACCTATACTATTTCAATACATACATCAGGTTTGGATCTAATCAGTAGCCACAGCGAAAATGCTTTGTAGAATCAGTCATAATTATGTATTAAGACAATTCAGTGACCATTAAGCTAAAATCATTACTTGAAACTTGTTGCAGGCACCTCTCCCACCACCGGTGTGGCAGGAGCCATATGATGCAGTCGACAAGTTAGTGGTTTGTCCACAAGCAATAGCATTCCCAGGTCTTATACCGAAGAACTCGGTAACAAAAGAAAATTGTTTAATTGCTAACGTGTATGTACCAAATACGAATAAGAAAAATCTATCAGTGGCTGTTTATGTTCACGGAGGAGCTTTTATAGTTGGATATGGAGATGCGCTTAAATATACACACATGTTGGACACAAAAGACATGATCATCGTAACGTTTAATTATAGAGTGGGTGTCCATGGTTTCCTCTGTCTTGGTACTGAAGATGCGCCAGGTAATGCTGGAATGAAAGACCAAGTAGCATTGCTGCGTTGGGTGCAAAAGAACATCGCCAGCTTTGGTGGTAACCCAGATGACGTCACAATTCTAGGGTATAGTGCGGGGGCTGCATCAGTAGACCTGTTACTGCTTTCCAAGTCAGCCGAAGGATTGTTTCATCGAGTAGTACCAGAGAGTGGGGGAAATCTTGCTGCATTTTCAATTCAACGAGACCCCCTTGAAGTTGCCAAAACTTATGGCAAGAAATTACACTTCTCTGATGTGGATGATATCAATTCATTGGGACATTTCTATAAAACGACTCCTTTAGAAGTGTTACTATCAGACCCGTTTTTTGATAGAACTGATTCTACTTTTATGTTCTCTCCATGTGTTGAACGTGACATTGGAGTAGAAACTTTTCTGACAGAATCTCCTCTGAGTATATTAAAGGGAGGAAACTACAGCAAGTTACCTGTCCTATATGGGTTCGCTAACATGGAAGGATTATTCCGGATGGACCTCTTTAATATTTGGAAACACAAAATGAACACGAAATTTTCTGATTTCTTACCAGCTGACTTACAGTTTGAATCTGAACAAGAAAGAGAAGAAGTCGCCAATAAAATAAAGATGTTTTACTTTGGTGATAAACCCGTCAGCGAAGAGAATATTTTAGGTTACGTTAATTACTTTTCGGATATCATATTTACATATCCAATGCTTTGGGCAACTAAGTTACAAGTGGAGGCAGGCAACAATCAAATTTATTTGTATGAATACTCATTTGTTGATGACGATGTTCCTGTGGTACCACATACTGACGTCCAAGGTGCAAACCATTGCGCTCAATCAATGGCAATAGCTGATGGCAAAAATTTTACATACCCAGATGAATCACTAGCAACTCCAGAGTATCAGAACATGAAGAAAATAATGCGAGAAATATGGCACAACTTTATTAAAACCGGGTAATTATTGCTTAATAGTTCACACACATTATTAGATAATTACATTATAAGTTGTTATTCGAACATAGACGTCCCCGTACGTAGGTATCTAAGATACACGAGTAAAATAATTTGTGTAATGTACGAGTAGGTACGTTACACAGATTATTATTTCGGTTAGTCCTCTTTAATTTATCTTACGCAGCCCTATTACGAAAACTAAATTCACTTTAGACATACGTAATACATACAACATACATAGTATATAGAGAACAGTAAATTGCCAATATCATCAATCCATTATAATCAAAATAACAAATTTTTTTTATGGTATAAGCCGGTAAACGAGCAGACGGATCACCTGATGGTAAGCAATCGGCGTCGTCCATGGACACCTGGAACACCAGAGGCGTAACAAGTGCGTTACTAGCCTTTTGGCGATTAGAAGTTTGACGATCGTTGGGGATTCAGGGATTGGGGAGATTGGGGAAGAGAAGGGTAATTAGGCCTCCGATAACCTCACTCACACGACGAAACACAAAGCAAGCGTTGTTTCACGCCGGTTTTCTGTGAGGCCGTGGTATCACTCTGGTCGAGTTGGCCCATTCGTATACAACTTACCTGTGTAACTTTCAGAAAACCTGTGCCTGAAGGGTCTTCACTGCCTGCTTGGGCACCAGCTGGTGCCGACAGGTCACCACACATGTTGCTGGGTCAGAAGATAGAGCTGCGTGGGGTACTGCTGGAAGAACGCACACGCTTCTGGGATGACATCTACCAGAGATACTACCGGGAGCCTGTACCACCTTCGCCAGCGTCGCACTTTGAATTATAGATGAATTTTGAACTTGAATAGCATGTCAGTAATATTTACTTCTTGGTTATTGGTTACTGTAACTGTCTAGTGTTGAAGACATTGTACCGATGAGTGACCCAAAAAGTAATTATTATGGAAATTGACAGCGAATGAAAATAATTAATGTCTGAAAATGATATTTATTCACTCTATTAGTTAGGTTGAGGACATATAGTTAAGTTGTAAAATTATTGAATTATAACCAAAGTCAATATGAAGCCTTATTAAACATGTTTTATCTTACAACCTGTTTTATTCTATAACCAAGTATAGTATCCCTATGTATCTACTTAGGGAATTATTTGCCATCTGTGTCCAAATCATAATGTTTCGAGACCGTTTGTTCAGCCATTTGCAAGTTGCGTTAAAAACAATTCAACCAAAAAGCCGGTTTAAAGACTAGAAAGCTAAAGAATATACCAAAATATATATATATGATAAGTTCTTACAATATATATGTTTTCATTTCGACTGCCTCGTTGGCCGAGTGGTCGCAAGTGCGACGCCGGGCAAGGGTTCTTGGCTTCGATTCCCGAGTCGGGCAAAGTATTACTGGGCTTTTAAAAAAATCTCAGTAGTAGCACGGAGTCTGGAATTGTGCAATCTATGCCATATACTTGGATGGAAATAGGCTCACCCCCTATTACATGGGACTCATAACATAAATAGTGAAAAGTGGGTGTTACATTGTACAGTGGCATAATGTACACCTCTTATGTTCTTACAATATATTATGATGTACATACTTCAAGCAAGTCTAAAATTAGCCAAGGACGACGTACGGGAGCTGAGATAAAGTTTATTCTTTTCCTGTTGGCGCAGTCATTGCCCCTTGATAAATAATGGTCAACAGAAAAACAATACATATACATTTTATTGTGTGTATCTTGGAATTATAGGTATACTACCTACATTATATATTCGATAAGTAAGTAATAAATCTCATACATTATGGGAGCCTTACGACCGATTTCATAAACCACCTTTTAATTAAGACTTACTTAGCGCGACGAAGCACCTTAAATGGATAGTTTAGGGGATCCGTACCTACCCTTACCTATCACTCTATAGGTTGGTGAAAATCAAAATGTGGTTAAATATAACCTATACCTTAAGCATGCGTGCGCCTTAAAGAGCCATCAGACCACCAAGGATGGCCCAATAGGGCTGATGCCGATTCGGAGTCGCGGAGAACCTAACGGGTTACCAGGGCTCCAGCTCTAAGTGCTGGAGTAGGAACGGTGTGGTTTTTAGTCAGTAAGAGTATGACACTCCATCCCACCTCACCCAGGCGGGAGAAGCCATTCGATGATTTTTCCCCCTTAAAAAAATAGTTTAGGCATGCCTTAAAGTTTAAGAGAGGTTGATGATGATGATCATTATTGCCCTCAATAAACCCAATTCCAAATTGTTACACGGAACTAGTTAAGGATGGGGAGCCAGGTTAGATTTTTATTGGGTCATTACCATCACAGTCCGACTCGATCGCAGAATTGAGTACATCCTTATTAAATTACGTAATTGCACGCGACTTTAGAGGTCACGAGACAAGTGGATACTTCATTGGATTATTGAAACCGTACGTCAACGTTAGTATTTGAAGAAGCCGAAACAAAAATTGGTATGGGGTCAATTAATTTATTGATTTGCAAATTAACGATGCGACCTACATAATTAACGATGGTTGAAACATGACACATCAGCCTGCAGCTCTTTTACCTATGACTAAGAAATAAGTTGTGTTAAAACAATAAATAAAAATGAGAAGGTCTTTGAAAGAAAGCTTTAATACAATTTGGTATTAGTGAGAACCGCGACTCTTTACTTGTATTGGCGGATAATCTATTATTACTTAGAAATCGTCGATAAAATCTATGAAATGATATTGATATTGGACTTGTACCATCCTCTGTTCTAAATTTTATCCCGGTCCCTTCAGCTGTTTTGATATGACGGAGTAACAAACAAACACATGAACTCATAAACACACAAACTCACATATTATCACATTTATAATATTGGTTCGAGCTAATTTCAACCATCGGCCCTTTTTGACTTCGGCCAATGACACCTCCCACCAGGGTGAGGCGAGAGGGAGTGTCAGACTCTTACTGACTAAAAACCACCCCGTTCCTACTCCTGCACTTCGAGCCGGGGCCCCGGCAACCCGTTAAGTCTTCCGCGGCTTCGTATCGGCATCAGCCCTATTTACAGCGTAAAATATACTTTTCGGGATAAAAGTACCCAGTGTAATGTCCATTGCCCAGGATATTAATGGGTAAATAATCATAGCCAGTTTCATTATCGTCGTCTAGTTACGTAAATCATAATTTAAACAGCAACAGTCGCGGAGAACCTAACGGGTAACCGGGGCTTCGGCTCGACGTGCAGGAGAAGGAACGGGGTGGTTTTAGTCAGTAAGAGTCTGACACTCCCTCCCGCCTAACGCAGGCGGGAGCAGTCATTCGATGATTTTCCCCCCTTAAAAAAAACATAGCAACAAGCAAATTGAAATCTTCCATCATGAGAATATTATTATGTACCTAGGTGTCTAATAGTATAAATAAACTTTAGCGAGCAATGATTCACAAAATACATAGTTTACTCTTAAAAGTATTTTATTGAGGTTTCAAGCCATTTGTTGACTTTACTTATATTTTCGTAAACTGCATGTTTACCGTGTAAAAACATATTATAATTTTTTTACAGTATCTATTCACATTCTGAGAAAGTCTCCATTTCAATAGAACATGAAAACGAAATTGTTACGCTCCTCTTTATTTGAGCATTTTAGTATTTTTAATTTAATAAAGCACTCGAGTGGAAAATTAAACCATTAGGTACGTTTTTCCAACAAATGATCTTGCTATATCGAATTATCTTTTACGATACGATTAACTTATAATGCGTAAAATGCCCAAAACCTTACTAGAGTCCGATAAAATATTTATATTATAACTTTCATGGGACATTACAAAATTAATTATTATGTTATCGGCTTACTTAAGTAAACGTACTCACAGTCAAATTCCCCGACCCTGCAAGCCAAGCACGCGTCGTGGGTCACGGAATGCTGCTCATGAATATGAGCCTCTATCATGGCTTGAAAGTAGTCGAGTTCCTCGTCGAATAGTCACGTACGTGAGAGAAAAAACATTAATTTAACACCAGGCATGATGCAGCATAAGTTTTTACTTATGCTGCATCATGCCTGGTGTTAAATTATATTTTTATAAAAAAGACAATAAAGGTGTGACAGTGGGAGTAAGAAAAACATTAAAACAGTAGAATCAAAACAGAGACGCTGACATCATACCTATGCTAAATGGGTTACCCAATCAGAGTAAGCCAGGCATACGAGTCACCCAGCACTGATTCTCAGTGGGCACTCCTGCAGTGATGTAATTTCTTATAAGTAGTATGTCTCAAAAAGGTCTAATATGTATAAAGAAATTTCGATAAAATAAAAAAAACAACTTAAAACCTAGCTAAATCACATTAGTTACATAAGTTGGTAATAAAAATCATTGTTTGTGATTCATGTAACAAAATTACATTTTAGTGTTTGATACAATAACTAATCCATACGGCTATCTGTACGATTAGTTATCAGTTTAGGAACATGACTTGACAACCTATTTTGTGATAAAACATTAGTAACTAATACTAAGCATTATAGAAAAGTGTGGAAGAGCCATGCTTCAGCACGAATGGGCCGGCTCGACCGGAGTGATACCACGGCCTTACAAAAGACCGGCGTGAAACAACGCTTTCGTTGTGTTTCGTCGCGTGAGTGATATTACCGGAAGCCCAATCCCTGAGTCCCCAACAATCCTCAAATTCCTAATTCCAAAAGGGCAGTAACGCACTTGTAACGCCTTTGGTGTTCCAGGTGTCCACAGGTGACGCGGATGCTTACCATCAGGTGATTCGTCTGCTCCTTTACCGGCTTATGCCTTACAAAAAAGAAAAAAAAAACTAAAATAGAAATAAAACACGCAATTACTAAAGTAACATAAGATAACATAACATCACGCCTTTTATACCCGAAGGGGTAGGCAGAGGTGGCAATGTAACACCAACTTTTCACTATTTATTTTATGAGTCACATGTAATAGGGTCGAGCCTATTGCCATATACCGAGCTCAATTCGAATCTCCGTGCTACTACTGAGAATTTTTTTAAAACTCCACTTATATTTTGCTTTACTTAGTAATTGAATCTGAGACCCCTTGCCCGGCAGTCGCATTTGCGACCACTCGGCCAACGAGGCAGTTAAAGTAAGTTACCAAAGCAATTTAAATAATATACTCGATGACTCTACAAAACGTAAGAAGGATATTATAAAAACCTGACATAATTGAGGTATTTTTTGAATCAACATCAACACGGTGTCTGGCTGATTTATGTAATTATACTTTAAGGTCATATACCTACACATGTAATAGATGTTTTTTTAATGTTTTTTTTTGGTCTGACCACATACGGTGAGGAATAGTCATGTGCTATTCAAATATTAACCGAGTACCAATTTAGTTATTTTCTAAACGCATATAAGCTGAGTACCTAATTAATCTCTAAAAATACTCGTAAGGGTTCTACAGACATGTGAAAGGAGTATGAAAAAATTTGCGCCTTAAGCAGAAAAAAAAGAAACTACGTTTAAAAAACCGATTTAACGCCCTCCTCTTTTGAAATCGATTCGGATCGTTAATTAACATAATAAAACCTTCAACAACAACAAATAACAAATACTTTTCTAAAAACCACATCGCGCACAAACATACATCATACATACATATATGTATATATACGGGTCAAACTGAACCTCCTTTCTTTGAAGTCGGTTAAAAAATATACTATACCAGTCTAAAAAACACAAAATCGATACGTAATACTTTTAATCAATTATAGAAATGTAATCAAGTAAGTAAATACGATTTACTCACATTTTACTAATTCATTAGCGTTATGTAGATAAGATAAGTCACAAGACACGGTACCAAGTGGTCGATGTTGCAGCTACACGTCAGTTTAAAACAGTAGCCATGATTGTAAAGTTGTGTGTGTTGCTCCTATATTTAGCTACAGTTTTAGCCAGTAACGAATGGCTAGAAGTAAAGACGGCGCAAGGACCGGTGCGCGGACGCAAACATGCTGCCGGAGGAACTTATGTGTTCTACAATGTACCCTACGCCACAGCCCCCAGAGGAAAAGATAAATTCAAGGTATTAAGCATGATGCTGTAGTAGATATGACTTGACATAATAACCTTTTCAAATGTTAGTTTTGCTTCTGAAGTCTATTTAAATCCATTCAACATATGTAAGTACTAGGAAATTAGCGTGTACTTACCTATCTGTGGGGAATTAAGCATTCGTATGCGTTTAACCTAAAAATGTGCATTCTAATTGAAATTATGAACCATAAACTTAACAATAACTGTGATTGAGTTTAATAATTGTTGTTTATAATACATTTCAGCCACCTCTTCCTCCAGCTGTACGATCGGACCCATACGATGCTGTCAACGAAAATATTATATGCCCACAATTTCACTTGGAAGGTGAAATAATGCCCAAATATTTGGTGCGACACGAAGACTGCCTCGTTGCCACTATTTATGTCCCTATTACTGAAAAAAAAGATCTCTCCGTCTTGGTATACGTTCATGGGGGCGGTTTTGTAATAGGCTATGGAGACATGATGAGAGCACTGCATTTAATGGATAAAAATGATATGATTGTCATCACATTCAATTATCGCCTAGGCATCCACGGATTCCTTTGCTTAGGCACTGAAGATGTACCAGGTAATGCCGGTATGAAAGATCAAGTAGCCCTACTCCGTTGGGTACAAGAGAATATTGCTAACTTCGGTGGTAACCCTAACGACGTCACATTGGCCGGTGGTAGTGCAGGTTCTGCATCTGTTGATCTAATAATGCTCTCTAAATCAGCAGAAGGTTTATTCCATAGAGTGATACCAGAAAGTGGTGGAAATCTCGCTGCATTTGCAGTTCAGAGGGATCCAGTTGAAATAGCAAGATCTCATGCCAAGAAATTTAATTTTACCAAAGCAGACGATATTAATTCTTTAGAATATTTTTACAAGACGGCGCCAATGGATTTACTAACAGCGGATCCATTTTTCGACAGAACTGATGCTACTTTTGTTTTCTCACCCTGTGTGGAGCGTGATGCAAAAGACGCATTTTTGACTGAATCTCCTCTAAGCATACTGAAGAAAGGAAACTATAAGAAAGTACCATTGTTGTATGGTTTCGCTAATATGGAAGGTCTAATGCGTATTGATTTCTTCGACTACTGGAAAAATAAGATGAATGAGAACTTTGCTGACTTCTTGCCAGCTGATTTACAATTTGAATCAGAAGAAGAAAGAGACGAAGTGATCAATAAAATAAAGAAGTTTTACTTTGATGATAAACCAGTGGGTGAAGACAACATTTTGGGTTACGTTGATTTCTTTTCGGATGTTCTATTTACCTATCCCATGTTGCGTGCAGTGAAGTTACATGCAGAAGCTGGCCACGATCAAGTATATTTGTACGAATTTTCTTATGTTGACGAGAACACTCCTGTAGTGCCACACACGGAAATTAAAGGTGCCAATCACTGCGCCCAAACAACAGCGGTAATGGATGGTAACTTTATAGACAAAAGTGAACTGAAAATGACTGATAGATATAAGAAAGTGAAGAAAATGATACGAGAACTTTGGCATAACTTTATTAAAACTGGGTAAGCATTTCGGACCTCAAAACTTGTTATTCTGTAAATTTCCTTGCTTAACAGCTCGCTGTTTGTTCACATTATTTTTGGATCTTTAACTAAAATTGACGACGTGATCAATAATTTAAAAATTTATATGATAAGGAATCGTCCCGTGGACACTTTACTATTTATTAGTTGACTGCCTCGTTGGCCGAGTGGGCGCAAGTGCGACTGCTGGTCAAGAGGTCTCGGGTTCGATTCCCGGATCGGGCAAAATATTACTGGGTTTTAAAAATCTCAGTAGTAGCACGGAGTCTGGAAATGTGCCCGGTATATGGCAATAGGCTCACCCCCTATTACATGAGACTCATAACATAAATAGTGAAAAGTGGGTGTTACATTGTACAGTGGTATAATGTGCACCTCTGCCTACCCCTTCGGGGATAAAAGGCGTTACGTTATGTTAGTTGTCATTACATTAAAGTAGACAAATTACTTACAGTTTCACTATTGACCAAACTTTGCGTTTTATATGTAATCCGAAAATTGACAACATCAGTCTTTTATAAACATTATTTGGTATCAATTTCAGGAAACCAGTACCTGAGGGATCATCCCTGCCTGAATGGCCAGCAGCCGGCGTAGACAGGTCTCCTCACATGTCTATAAATGACGACTTAGAACTCCGTGGTGTACTGCTAGAGGAGCGCACTCGCTTCTGGGACGAAATTTACGAGAAACACTATAAAGATGCCATGCCACCACCCCCACCTCCTCCAAAACCACGGGTCGAATTATAAAATTGTAAATAGCTTATTCAATAGGTACATATCATTTTTCTAAAGAATTACAGTGAAGTTTCAAAACAATCTTCGGTATTTTTATTGTCTTGTTCATAAAACGCCGCATTGTATCATCAGTTGTTGTTTATTGTAATTATTTAGTTGCGTCTACATTGTGATCCGTAATAATATTTAATTGTTTGCCTTACCCAGCATTACATACTAGTTAAAAACATCTCAATAACATTTTTAACGCCATCTATTGAGAAAATATAACATCTCTTAGCACACTACTAAAATGATTGTGGTCTGCATTGGGCCTATCAAAAACAGTAAGTACTTCAGAAGAAAATAACTTATAACTGTTTTCTATAATTTCGAAGTAATAACTGATAAGATCACAATGGAGATTCAGGGATTAACATATTATATACGCTAAAATTGTTACCAAATCCCTGAAGATGACAACAATTGCATTGCTATTATTGTTATTAGTCACAAAACCAACAGTCCAGAACAAACACAACGCCATCTACTATATATATAGTCAAACTCATCAAAATCGGTTTCAAAATTGACACAAACACAAGCAAAAAAAATGCTCTAATGATTTATAACTAGATCACTTCATTGTCATGTGAATGACAATAATTTTAGCTAAATTACTATTAATTTTCGCCAAAATAATATTATTTCGTATTTCCGTATTTCCGTACATCTACACTGATCATAGTAGAAGTTTCTATGTATGTTCGTTACTCTACTGTCTCGTTGGCCTTGTTAAGTGGTCGCAAGTGCGACTGCCGGGGCTCTCGGGTTCGTTTCCCGGATCGGGCAAAGTGTTACTGGGTTTTTATAAAAAATCAATGGTAGCACGGAGTATGGAATTGTGCCTGGTATATGGCAATAGGCTCACCCCCTCACACGGGACTCATCATAAATAGTGAAAAGTGGGTGTTGCATTGTACAGTGGCATAATATGCACCTCTGTCTACCCCTTCGGGGATAAAAGGCGTGATGATGTAATGTTATGTCATGTCGTTACTCAATAATATTTGAATGGCAAGTAGATAGAAATAACGCATTACAGACATCTTTTTATCCTGGTATCTCAGGCAAAGCAATTGGCGGAAGCTAACACAAGGATATATGCAGCAAGTAAGAAGAGTTCACGGGTAAAATAAATAAGCATTCGGTTCCTCTTTACTTATCCAATAGTGTATTCAAGTACACACACATATTTACATATATATACTAGCCGACCCAACAGACGTTGTCCTACATATCCACTTGAATGTTTAGGAGCTAGGTAGGAGAGCCTAGTGTCCTAGAGGAGGTTTCTTCTTATCTTCTAGTAGTAGTAAAACTCCGATGAGAGGTGTTGACAAGAATGATTTTATTTCGCCAAACTACGCTACTTATATTCTATTTACTATTTACATATTACAACTAGACAAGATCAGATATAGTTAGGTGATAGTTTCGACCAATAGCGGCGCGCCGGCGTGCGCGGGGCGCGCGGGGTGCGGGGCGCCGCTTTGCACACGGCACTATCGGTTCCTTCCGTATAAGTATGACCGCGCGGCGCGAGCGCGCGCATTTCTCCAATTCTCCGAGAGCCGGCGTTGAGTGAAGACTGAAGACTACCTACAGATGAATGAAGATGAATGCAAGTACTCCGGCCTCCGGCTCCGGCGCTGCTTGGCTGCTTGCTTTACCAAACCGCTTCTTTCGAAGCGATCGCTCGCGGTACGGTGTGATAACGCTGTTGCCGCAGTGATGATTATCGTTTCTATGCAAGAAAGTCGAAAACTGTCTTTTTCAAGACAATTGGTTTCTGGTTTCTTAAAACGGAGTCAAAACGTAAACTGTCTTTTTCAAGACAATTGGTTTCTTGTTTCTTTAAACGGAGTGAGTCTATAACTTTGGTAAAGGTATTGTGGAAGGTATCTGGTATATGGAAAGGTATTCGGTGGTACTGGTAACTGGTAGGTATGTAGTCGTGCGGTGCGGCTACAGTACTCCCCCCCGAGCGAAGCGTACTGGGGTCTTGACGATTCTTCCTGTTCGCGTTTTTCGTACATCGCTGATGCTCGACGGAGGTTGACTGGGTTGATCCTGGATAGCCTCTGGTAGCGTTGCACAGTTGTCCGAGTTATCGTAATTAATGACGTAGGCAGGCTTCAGACGCTCGATAGACACGTTGGTAGTACCTCTAGGTGTTTGTAATGTGAAGTACTTGTCGCTTCTGCTGGAGACTAGGTACGGACCCTTGTACGGACGTTGCAGCGGTTTGCGAACTGCGTCGTCACGTACAAATATGTGGCTGCATGTTTGCAGGTCTTTGTGCACGAAGATACTCAGTCGGTTAGTGTGCGACTGATAAGCGGGCGTTAAGCTTGTGATAACACGATGCAAGTCAGCCACATAGTCGTTGTCCATCTTCGTGTAGGTAGGCGATGGCGATATGAAATCGCCGGGTAGCCGTAGTTCTTGTCCGTAGGTAAGTTGAGCGGCACTAGTGTTAGTGTCGGTGCGCGTAGCTGCTCGTAGTCCCAGTAGCACGGTAGGTAACTCGATCAACCATTTGTTGTTGTCGGCGAGTCGAGTCATGAGCGCGGCTTTCAATGTACGATGCCAGCGTTCTACGATCCCGTTACTCTGCGGGTGGTAGGCAGTAGTACGAGTTCTTTCTACTCCCAGTAGCTGAGCGAGATTTTTGAATAAGCTGCTCTCGAACTGTCGTCCTTGATCAGTCGTGATTTTGATAGGACAACCAAAGCGTGATATCCATGCTTCATACAGCTTTCTTGCGACGACTTCGGCTGATATCTCTCGCAGAGGGACGGCTTCTGCCCAGCGGGTGCAGCGGTCGATCATAGTGAGTAGGTATCGATGTCCGCTCGAAGATGTAGGCAGAGGTCCGACGATGTCAATGTGTACGTGTTCGAAACGCTCGCTCGGTGGGAATGATGTGACGTCACTGTGCGTATGTCGATGTACCTTTGATTGTTGACACTGAATGCATGACTTTGCCCACTCGCCAATGTCGGTGTTCATAGACGGCCAGAAGTATCGTTGCTGCATTAGTTTGCGTGTAGTTCGAATACCAGGATGACTTGTATTGTGCACGGCGTTGAATGCGATGCGACGAAAGTCAACTGGTAGGTATGGACGAATGTGAGGCGTCGATACTTCGCAGTAAATCGGCTTGTTTAAAGTAGGTATGACGATTTTCTTGAGTTGAATATTTGTTTGTTTAGATAGGTTGAGAATATTGCTGTCCTTTTCTTGTGCTTGCGATAGTTGATCGTAGTCTATCGGTGATGGTAAGTCGATCGTTTCAACGCGTGACAGTGCGTCGGCGACTACGTTGTTCGCTCCGGTCACGTGACGTAGGTCGGTCGTGAACTCGCTTATAAACAACAGCTGACGAGTGCGTCGTTGTGTGTCGTTGTCCGACGGCGGCTTGCGTATTGCGTAGGTAAGCGGCTTGTGATCGGTGTAAACAATGAGTTCTCTTCCTTCGAACATTTTTCTAAAGTGTTTGATCGCCATATATATTGATAATAATTCTCGGTCGAACGTACTATAACGTTGTTGTGTTTCTGAGAATTTCTTCGAAAAATAGCCGAGGGGAACCCACTTGTTGTTTACAAGTTGTTGTAGGACAGCTCCAGCACAGGTGTTCGATGCGTCACACATGAGTGATATTGGTTGAGTTGGTGACGAGGATGGGTGAGCGAGTAAAGCTGCGTTTTGTATGCTGGCTTTACACAACTCGAATGCTTGAAGTGCTTCATTGTTCCACTCGATTTTTGTTTTATCGCGTTTCTTGGAGTTATGTAGAAATGCGTTTAGCGGCGCTTGTATGTGGGCCGCGTTACGTATGCTGTCACGGTAAAAGTTCACCATGCCGAGAAATCGACGTAGGTCCGCTATTGTTTCGGGTTTGGGGTAAGCAGTGATAGCGTTGACTTTATCAAGTGGAGGTTCGATTCCTTCGCTCGACACTTGATATCCTTTTTTTTTTTTTTTTTTTTTTTTTTTTTTTGTTGACGGGGGGAAACCTTCCAAAGGCGCCTAGCTTTTTGGGGAAAAAGACTAGGGAGTGTGGGATTTTTACCTCACTAAAACCTCCCCGGTGGCCACCATCCGCACTTAAAGGGGGCACCGGGTCCTCTTAGTAGACCAACTCCGGTGCCCTCATAGTGCAACGCCTGTGACGGCACCTCCCTATGGAGACCTATGTCTCTCCTAGAGCCTCTCTGTGCACTGCACGGCGGCACGTGACCACTGTGCCGCCGTCATCCTTGAGGTCATTAGGTGGGCGCCTAGATTCCCCACTCTATGCGCCCATGACCCCAAAGGTTTGCCTACCAATATTGTAGGCAGGAAATCGACATATTAGGCGCCGCGGCGGTTATTTCCTCGACGCCTTCGACGTGTGGGATCGGCCCTCTCACGATCCCGCTCAGCAGCCTCCTTTTGGGACATTACAGTCTCACAAAAGGTGGCAACTTCTCTCCAGTTTTCTGTCTCTGCCAGCATAGCCGTAACTACTGCTGGCAGAGACAGGTCTCGCCCGATCCTGGCAACTAGGACCCGCCGCTCTGAGGCCCACGCTGGGCACTCTTCAAGCGTATGCTGTGCGGAATCCAAGTTGCTTTCGCAATGGTGGCAATTTGATGTAGCCTCTCGCCCAATCTTGTTCAGGTACTCACCGAAGCAACCATGTCCGGTCAGCACCTGAGTGAGCCTGAAGGAGATGCGCTCCTCTCTCTTCAGCCAGGCTTCGAAGTGCGGCAGAATGGCTTCGACAACGCGCTTGCCTGAGTATTCCGGCTGTTCTAACCGCTCACGCCACCGCTCAAGCGCGTGTCGCCTTTCCCGCCGCCTCAGCCTAACGAGCACCGTTTCTGGCATCCTTCCGCCGTTTTGGCGGATTGAGCGAATTTGGTCATAGACTTTCGCGTCCATATCCGCCAGGATATCCAACGGCGGAAAACGAGCCAGTA